CACACACACACACACACACACACACACACACACACACACACACACACTCCCGGGTCTTACGGAGGGTTTTCACTCAGGCCGCGACCTTCATATTGAAGCACCATGTCTGTGCCATAAATGTTGAGCAACTTGTAGGGATTCACAGATACGAGGATGCTGCCGATGTAGGTCTGTGTGGAAGGAAAAAGAGAAACAAAAAAGGACAGGAAGGAGAGCAGATGAGTGGATGTAGTAGGAGGCGATGTCCATGACATTTGATGATATTAGTTATATAATTTGCATATTTGAAATTAAGCATACATATGCAAGTTCCTGGTCGAAGCGCTTCTTCAGGTTCATCAGAACTGTGGTCTCATTCAGCTCACTGAAATTAAACACACGTACAGAGCACATATTGTCACACTGCGGCAGGATGCCCACGCTCACTTGTCATCCAATATTAATTTACTTTCGATGACATTCAAGACGTCAAAATCAGAGAGAGTTTCTTCTTGGCAGGACATAATTGTGAAATAAATTCTCTCAAACTGCTGTTGAAATGATACAGCTATCTCGTGCAGGGGAGTCCTCCGGATGTGAAGAGATGTGTTTGGTGCTGCATGTTTATAAAATACTCAATGCTAGGGATTTATTTCTAAAAGTTTTCAAGGATTTTCAAAGCCTACAGGCACACAAATACAAGCGCTGTGATTAGTTGCAAGAAGAAACTGAAAAGACATGCATTGAAATGAGCTCTGCTGCTCTATGCTGCAGCAACACAAAAATGCTTGTAAGTGTGTGACAGGAATGATTGTGAGGCTGTTTGTTAAAACTGGATTCTGCTTACGGCAGCTGTGTCATGTCCTCCATTCCCTCCGCCCAGCTTTTCACCCTGTGGCCTGTTGTGGGCATGCTTAGGAAGGAGTAGATCTAGACACACACACACACACACAGAATGGTATGCAATTAGTCCAACACTGGCATGCAACTTTGTCAAAGCCTGAGGGATATTGTGATCAGTTGATGCAGAAATTATATTATATATGCAGAAAATCAAATATTCTGTTTTGTAATGATTTTGTGGGCCATCCAGCTTCTATGCTGTATGCTTCACAGTTATTGCTAGAATAATGTCAACGTTTCACTAACAATGAAATCAACTTTCATTAAAAAAAATCATAAAGTTAGCTACCTTGTCATACCAGCTTTGACCAGGTACTCTCTCTCTGTCAGGAGTCCAGTTTGTGTCCTGGATCTGTCCGTCCACCAGTCGAGGTGAGGGCAAATATCCCTCTAATACCCCGGCTTCTCTGTACATGGACCACTTTGACAGATTCTGGACCGTCCCATGTGGTAAAACCCTCTCAGCTGCCCAAACATCTTCCCCTCCTTGCCCTCCACCTCCGGCATTTCTGGCCCAATGTCCTGAGCTTGGCCCATAGGGTGGAACCACAGCATAGCGATTATCCTCACCCTGCAGGCCTGTTGGCACCCTGTATGAGGCATAGCGAAGCTGCTGGTTTTGGACGGCTTCAGACAGTCTCGGGATGTGGAACTGGCGTGTGAGGAAAGAGCCATCAGGCAGCCTGTGGAAGATGGAATGAATCACTTTAATTAAGAACATGTAACACAAGGTTATACCACAAAATGTACCACAAAATGATAAAAATGTAACTTTGAAACCGCTTTTTGTGTAATTTTGTAATTGTGACATAAATGAATACATTTCTACACATGGGGTGCTTCCACCACAGGAACTTTCCAAGGAAACCAAGAACCTTTTGAGGAAGTTAGGAAGTAAATACATTTTTCGACCAGAGGAATCAGGGACTACATTTTGTTCCTGGTCATAATTAAAGGTGTAAAAGAAGTCCCTGCTCTGGGGTCAGTACTTTATGATGATTCAGAGACTTTGCAAAGCCAAATGTCACAGATTGGTAAAAAGAGAAACTCCTCTTGAACTTGTGTACCACTTGTGTACTGCTTCATTCATAAAACAAGAACTGTTAAAACTCTTGTACTGATATTAGGATGAAGAATGAGTATATTTCTTGATGTTTACTAATATTAAAATAACATTAAACTTTGTTGTTCCATCAAATTTTTTATAAAAAGAGAGCATGATAAAGAGATAAAGTGTGAAGCCCTGAGAGCAGGAGCGAATGAGAGACTGAGGAAGCTGCGGGAGAGAGATAGGGAGCCAGAGAACAGCGATGAGAGAACAGAACGACTTAACAAGAAAAATTAAATACATCATCAGTCATATTGGCTTAATCCTCACGGTTCTTCAGATGCAGCAACAAGAATGCAACAACTTTTAGTGTTTAGTTTAGTTTCTGAGTTTAGTTGTTCCATATTTCCTGGTAATATTTAATTCTCCATTGGTAAAAAGTTAATGCCTAGCTTGAGGCTCAATTTCTCAACAGGTCATATCTGGTCATTAGTTTCTATTTTTAGTGTAGCTCCCTACCTGTATTTGACATCACGGAGTTCGTCATTCCGCAGCGCAGAGCCAAGATTGGGAGGTTTGGGTTTGGGTGAGCCTGACAGTACAGAGTTATCTGTGAGATGATAGAGACCTGCAGACCGAAGTGCCTGGTTTTGCCTCAGCGCGGCTGAAAGGTTGGGAGTGGAGGGCTTCTGGCCAGGGATAACCAGGGAGCCATCAGGGAGCTGGTATGATGCACTACGAAGGTTCTCATTCATAAGAGCCTACAGAGCAAGAGAGAGAGCTAGTTATTCAAGGTTATAATCACAATTCCCTGAATAATTCTAAAGTCTGTAACGTTAGAATGCTATGTTTGATTTTCCCTGGGTTAGTGAAAAAAGAGACAATAAAATAAACAGGTGCTGCAGCAAAGTTATATTAAGTGACATTTAACAGGTACGCACTCTAGACAGGTTAGGGCCAACTGGTTTTCGTGGGTCAATGATGATGGTTCCATCAGGCAGGGTTAAGGACACACCCTTAAGATAAGGATTATGCAGGGCGGCAGCCAGGTTGGGGCTCTTTGGTTTCCTCGGGTCCACTATAATAGTTCCATCTGGGAGGGTGTATGCAGCTCCTTTCAAGGCTGGGTTACCGAGGGCCTAATGTTAAACAAGTGCAATTCCATTAATAAAAAAGCAGCAGCTTAGTATATTTGACTACCAATTATTATTACCAAAACCAGGTCTACATACATTTGTGGGAACTATTTCAAGTCCCACTATAAATGAGAAGGGAGGAAAGGCTAACAGATCAACACACACACAAAGTACCAGGTAGTGTGAAGATAACACATACAAAACCAAAGAGTCTGAAACCATACCTAACCTTAGCCAGGTTGGGTGAAATGGGTCTGTTGGGGTCATGGACCCCTTCCGGTAGTGCGAAGGAAGTGTTCCGCAGAGCAGAGTTTTGAAGGGCGCCGGAGAGGTTTGGAGAGATAGGTTTCCGTGGATCAATGATGATTGTACCATCGGGCAGGGTGTAAGATGCAATTTTTAGGTACGGGTTCTGAAGTGCTGCTGAAAGGTTCGGAGACTTCGGTTTCTTGGAGTCAATCACAATGGTACCATCGGGGAGAGAATAGGAGGCTTCGCGCAGAGCTCGGTTGCTTAGTGCCTTAGCCAGGTTTGGGGAAATGGGTTGCTGAGTGAGCAGACATAGCAGAGAAAGAAAAATATTCATCAGCTTTAACTGATACATGGTTAACAATATTAGGGAGAGAAAAGAAAGGAACACAACATTACTTGCTGTCTCGGGTCTATAATGGTGCCATCGGGGAGAGTATATGTAGCCGTCTTGACATTCTGGTTCTGAAGTGCTCTTGAAAGGTTAGGAGACATGGGCTTCTGGGGGATACGTGGGTCCTGTGTGGGTGGAAGGGGAGAGTAATGCAGGAGAGTACAACTGTAATAAAACAATTGTTGTTGTTCCATGTGTAGACAAAAATACATGGCAGGTTGTATCGTAATTTTGACATGTTCCTCCTATACCTACCCTGATAACTGATCCATCGGGCAAGGTGTACGAGGCTCCACGGAGTTGTTGGTTTTGCAAGGCATTGCCGAGCAACGGGGAGGAAGGTGAAGCCGCATACGGTGACACCAAGGTCCCATCTGGCAGCCGGTACGATGCCTGCATCAACTGTTGGTTTTGCAGGGCACTTCCTAACATTGGTGAAGAGGGTGGTGGGGGTCCATATAGGGACCGTCTAAGTTGCACAGGTGTCCGATAAGATGCTTGGCGTAAGTTTGGGTTCTGTTGAAGAGCATTATGGAGCTGAGGCCCAGCTGGTGCATAAGGGTTACGGCGTTGCATCATAGGGGATCTTAAAGATGAGACATTCTGCAAATGAGAACGGTTCTGCAGGGCATCATGAAGAAGTGGTGATGGGCCAGGCTCAGTGATGTAATCATATGGAGTAACAAGAGTTGGTCCATATGGTGAACGGATCTGTGGAGTCTGATAAGAAGCCATACCTCTTAGTGCCTGACCATGTCTCATGGCTCCAGACAGCATTGGAGTGGAAGGTACAGATGAGGCATATGGGGACTGAGGCCTTTGAAGTGGAGACACATAGGAGGCTTCTCTCAGTGCCTGGTTTTGCAAAGCTCCAGACAGCATTGGAGAAGAAGGGGGCATAGGCTGTTCATAAGGGGACATTGGCCTTTGTAAAGGTGAAACATAAGATGCATCCAATATAGCTTGATTCTGCAGAGCATGAGACAGCATAGCAGATGAAGGGGCCATAGGCTGCTCATAAGGGGACATTGGTGTCTGCAGTGAGGAAACAAAGGACGCATCCCGAATTACCTGGTTTTGCATTGCACCAGATAGCGTAGGGGATAAGGGAGCATAAGGTTCTACATATTCTGTAACCATCCCACCCATGTCTACCATCTGGGATGGCTCTGGGCCGAAGGGGGAAGCGAAAGACGCTTGTCTGATAGCCTGGTTCTGCAAAGCACCAGATAATATGGGAGAAGAGGCGGCAAGAAACTGATACGACGGCTCAGTATAAGGATCAGCATAGGTGCCAGACACATACGTTTCTGGTGCATAAGTGGGTGGATGGGCAGATCGAGGGGGCAGAATTGGGGAGGACTGACGAGAAAGTCGAGGAGAGAAGCGTGGGGATGCAGGCTGTGGCATGTGTTTAAGGGAGAGCTGTGGAGAGGCAGGAGGCATCCTTCTTATAGACTGCTGGGCCCTGAGAGGATGTCCTCGAGCCACAGGGCGAGGACCAAATCGGCCAGATTCTCTCCTCCTTTGGGGAGCCCGGTGTACCGTGTGAGGGGATTGAAAAGGGGAGAAGGAGGAGTCTACAGTGAGAACAGAAGACCTATTGCTTCGCATGGAGGAAGCACGGAATGGACGCACATTCTGGGTGGGTGGGGGCATTGGGCGCCCTCGGAGACCCATAGGTGAGGGTCTGACGGTACCTAAAGGAACATTTCCCCCCATCCTGGGCCGGACCAATGGTGTGGGGTCCCTGATCAGGCGAGTTGAGCGACGAGACAGGGTAGGAGATGATGGGGCGGGCCGCGGTCCTGCAGGGGACAAACTGCGACGAGATAGGGAGGGAGAGGGAGATGGTCTTCTACTGAGCTGTGGAGAGTGAGGGGGAGATGCATGACCAGGGGAGAAGGAAGGGGAGGGTGGACCATGCATCTTCCTCCCCCCAAATGGGCTGCGGGCTGTAGTGGGTGAGGCTGGAGGACTTCGCCTCCTCATGGAAGCACGGGGTGAGGAAGGTGGAGAATGCCGTCTCATTGATGCTCTTGGTGAGGGTGGAGGACTTCGCCGGATCATGGAGGCACGGGGAGAGTGAGGGGGGGAAGGTCCTCGAGCCATAGGGGATGGTGATCTCTGAGGTTGCATTCTATGATGGGCGTGGTGGGAGGCCATGGGGGAGGTAGGTGAGATTTGTCTCGACATAACAGAGGGAGGTCTTTGGGCATTTATGAACCCACTCCTTATGGATGGTTGTGGGGAGGGGCTGCGTCTCTGTGGAAGCATAGGGGAGGGTACTGGGGAGGCCATGGCAGAAGGATGGCGCTGCATCTGTGGGGAGGGCATAATGACAGAGTGGCGGGATGGAGTCCGAGAGAGTTGCAGGCGCCGCGCAGGACCGGGGGACATATTTGCTTGCTTAATAATCATGGCAGTTGGAGTAGGGATCACTGGGCCATAACCCTGTTGCTGTGACATCATCATTGGGTCTGTCATCATCTGCTGTTGTAAAAACACAACAAAAATGATGTGTACAATAAATTGAGAACCAAAAATGCTAAGAGAGCATACATTTCGTGAAAATGGGGTAGCAGTGCTGAATATAGTATAAACCTTGTAATGAAATGTACGGTATAACAACTTAAATACAACCACCCCATCTTTTTGAAAATAAGTTATGCAAACTGGCATATCTGCTCTACAATTAAATTATTACACATATCAAGAACAAGTGTGGAAGAAAGACACTTATAAATGGTACAGAGAAATTCCTGACAAGACAAGGCCAGAAATATTGAGTGTTTCTTTTATTTAATACTTTTGTAAATGAATATAATAAAAAAAACCCATTAAGGAACAGTTGAGAGGCAGATTTTTTTCTTTATGCAATGTAGAGTTATTCCAGCAATTAAATGGGATGATTTTAATAACTAAAATGTGGCCTACTTGAAATCTGAACTGTGCAACCGTATTATCAAGGAAAAAATAAGTATTCGATCGGGATCAGGGGTACAATAACTTGTTCTGGACATTCCTAATTGTCAGTTCATGCAAAAACCAGTATAACTGAAATAGGTACCAACCAAAGGTTTCAAGCACCCTTTTGGCACACAACCACACTCCCAAGGTACTGGCCTGAGAAAGCAAGCTGAGGCTCACAAGCAAATGTCAGTGGTGTTTGTGTCAAAAATAAATCAATAGAAATATCCAGTGCAAACAAGAGTTAGATTACTACTGTGTTTCTTAAACCATTTTTTATGACAAGACATGGAATACTTGTCGACGTAGATATGTTGTTGGCAAAAAGAGCATTTCTAATATTTGCTGCTCATGGCAAGAATGTAATCAAGATGTTTTTCATTGTTTCATTGGTTGTTGGGTAGTCACAAATATTCCTACTTAATTATATCATAGAAATGTGTTTTTTTATTGACTCCAGTATTACTCTCACTCACTCATTGTCTTGTGCTATATTTTTAGATTTCACTTCCAAAAGCAAACAATTGCGGAACATTTTCTAAGTTGTTAGATATGCTTTGGCTCTCCCTCTAAAGTAGGATTGCATTTTCACATGGTCATCCCAGATTATTGAAGAAATCAGGTTCAAAGTCAACAAGGTTGCGTTAAAGAGTATGATTGCACAAAACCAATGACACAACAGAGCTAGAATTACCTGTGGTGAAATCATTCGCGGAGACATCGTTTGTTGCTGCGGCAACATCATCTGCTCTTGTGGTGACATCATTTGTTGTGGAATCATCTGCTGCTGTGGTGACATAATTTGCTGGGGCATCATCTGTTGCTGTGGTAACATCATTTGTTGCTGTTGTGGCATCAGAGACTGTGATGGCATCATTTGGGCGGCCATACTTTGTTCTTGTTGTAACATCATCTGCTGCTGTGGTGACATCATCTGTTGCTGCAGTGACATCATCTGCTGCTGTGGGGACATCATCTGTGGGGGCATCATCATTTGGTCTTGAGGGGACAACATGGTTTGTTGTTGAGAAAACATAATTTGTTCTTGCGGAGACATCATCATCATCTGTTGTTGTGGTGACATTCCCATTTGCTGCTGTATTGACATCATGTCACCAAGCTGACCTGGTGCCAGAGGATACTGGTCTTCATACTGGATTTCTGACATGTCTTCAAATTCTGGATCAGGTGGCAAAGTAGGTGGAGGGTGCAGGGGCACATCTAGACGCTCTTTCCCAAACAGGCGCACTTGTGGCCTAGGAACTCTAAATGTCATCTCTCCTCCCTGAACTCCACCAGTATCATCCCCATATTGATCATACTGGTCTGCATACTGGTCCCCATACAGGCCCTGTACCTGATCCATCCCTTGCCCTCCAAAGCCAGAGAACTGCTGGCCCCCTGGTGGGAGCCCCATTGCCTGCTGGGAGCTGAAGTCTTGGTAGGGTATGCCGGCATCATTATAACTGAGTTGATAGTCTGGTGGAAATCCTCCTTGTATTCCCACAGTTGCTGCATAAGGGTCCTCATAGTAACCTGCCTGCCCATCCCCGTAGTAAAATCCTTGACCATTTTCATCGTAATAACCCTGAGCCTGAGGGTCAAGGAAACCATCTACATCTCCACCATACACACGGTCCTCACCCACTAGTGCATAGTAGTCCACACCCTCGTCACCATACATTGCCATTGCCTGTTGTTGCTGGTTACCATGATAATTAGCTTCCTGTGTATTACAGTAGCCTTGAGCGGCGGCATAAGGGCCATAGTAGTCCCCCATGCCATCATCATAAAGACCACCTTCATGATATTCTGCATTTGTATTATAGAGTCCTTCTTCCTCATAGTAACCAAGGTCTTGGTAGTCTGCCACCCCTGCTCCGTTGTCAAAGTAACCAAACTGACCCTGACTTCCATATGCTGCAGTTGCCTCGTCTCCATAACCATTATAACCATCATCATAGCCTCCATAACCTTTCTGGTGGACTGAATGTCGACGGTCATATTCATAACCATCCTCCTCATGCTCATAACCATTGTTTTGGTAACCATGAAGATGACCTTCAGAGCTGGCATATCGGCTTTGTCCGTGGTGTCCTGCATTTCCTCGCATTTTAGTGGACAGGAAGCGTTTGGTCAGCCAGTTGGTTGCTGCTGCAGCCTTACCCAGCAACACACTTCTGTTCTTGAAGTCGTCAGGAGGCCCTTCACCATTCTTTTTCCCAAATAAGTTTTTGAAGAAGCCCCCCTTCTTCTGATTTGAATCATTCCCTCCCAGACGGAGCAGCATATAAGTTGGCTTCTTCCCATCGTTTTCCTTCGCTTTGTCCTCCTTCTCCTTTTTCCTCTTCTTGCTGGCCTTAAACCTCATCATGAATCGAGAGGTGTTCTTCAGCATGGACTTGCGACGTTTCTTCTTAGCAATGCGGGTTTTTCTCTTCCCCAACCCCAGGAACAAACGTGATGTACTTTTCAGCTTCTTCCTGCTGTTCCTGCGTCTCTTGAAGCCAGAAAACTTCATGAACATCCTGGACATGTTCTTCAGACCTTTCTTTGGGATTTCCTTTATCGGAAGCTGTGGAGCTTCTTCTTTCTTCTTGCCTTTCTTCTTCTTTGCATCAGCATCTGATTTCCCACCTTTATGGTGGCCGCCATCTTTCAATTTCTTTTTGCCGTAATCCTCTTCTTCGTAGTCATCCTCTTCTTCATCATCATCCTCCTCATCATCCTCTTCTGAATCCCCACGTCTAGACTTTCCCCCTTTCTTTCCCTTGGCCCCCTTTCCCCCCTTGCCTCCTCGCCCCTTCCCTCTCCTGTCATCCTCTGAGTCTTCTTCTTCATCATACTCATCTTCACTGAACTCTTCGTCCTCTTCCTCATCACTCAGGAGCTCCTCATCCTCCTCAGACTCCACTTTCTTACCTTTTCCTTTGTCTTTTCCTTTCTTTCCATCGTCTTTCCCTTTCTTTCCATCGTCTTTCCCTTTCTTTCCATCGTCTTTCCCCTTGGGTGGCTCCTCCTTTCCCTTCTTGCCCCCCTTCTTATCATCCTTTCCACCTTTCTTATCATCTTTGCTAGGTTTCTTGTTGTCTTTTCCTCCCTTTTTGTCATCCTTCCCTTTCGTTTCCTCCTCTTTCTTCTTCTCTGGTTCAGGTTTTCCACCCTTCTTTGCATCCTTCTTGGGGTCTTTCTTGGGCATTTTCACAAGTGGCTAGGAGCACACCATGCCCTCTCTTTAGGATGCTGTAAACCTTCAAACACACAAACACAATTATTACATGCACACTGTACGGAAGGCAACACTGTATTGTAGGTTTAAAATAAAGAAATTATGATGTGTTAAGAAAATAGGAGCCTGACCTTTAAAAGATTCCTTGGTTTAGATATGCCTAGTTGACCTTGCGCAAGCACTATATGCAGGTTCTGATTGAGGACAGGTCCACATGGCCAAAGCAGTTCCACACTGCCCAAATCTGGTCCCCATGAAGGCTCCTGTCCAGACGTAGAGCTAAATGTCACACATGTATGTAAACACAAACTCTAGCATTGACACAATGAAACCAAGTAGTTAAGTAAACTTTGGTCTTTATATCACCGCCCCATTCAGGAACGGTGTTAAAATGATACAAAATGATTAAGTCAGTGCTTATGTCTTAGCACCACAAACTGTTTTATACACTTCAGTAGTGTTTCAAACTGCCTAGGGATCCCAAACTCCTGATTAAACCCTGCTCTGAATCCCCAACACCTGCTTAGAGTTCCTTCACTGCAATCTCTCTAAGCCCTAGCTTGTTATTTGTGCACACTACCCTGAAATCTCTTGTCTGAGAGAGCTCTGACTCTTGCATAGAGTTACACGACCCCTATCAAGAGATTGCAATCTCTACCCATAAATGTCCAGCTCTAATATAGGGTTTAAGGTCAAAGTGTTCAATGGGTTTCAACTCTAAACACCTTCTTGAAATCTATGTCTAAATCTAAATCTGCTTATGTATGAATAGCATTAACTGTATTATGAAGTGTTACCTGACTACGAACTCTAATGTCTAATTTATACCTCTGTAGAAAAGCTTGCAAGGAGCTTCTGCAGAGCCACATGGATTAATTGTGCATCAGAGCAAGCAGGTGGAATACGACAACAACCTTATCAATTCGAGGCACAGGAGCTCCTCCTCACCACCCAACTCCATAATTTTTTTCCAGTCATGGAGTTGTCTTGGGCCAAACTATTACGGAACTATTGAATCACGTCTATCAAATAAATCATACACAGCCCAACAAAGGATTTGGAAAAAGGCGGGTACAAATAAAAATCACATGCCATGCTTAATACACCGCAGCACTATACAGTATATGCCTGGCACTCACAAGAGGTGCACACACCAGGCCGCACAGAATGCAAAGGTGCACAGCTGCAGAAGTATAATTCAGGCATTACAAAAGTGATTTTCAGTGGTTTAGAAATGTCCACACAGTATGACCCTGCAGCTTTGCTTTCTGTTAAATTGGATACAGACATTAAAACCACACAAACAAAACATGCATCTGTCACTCCAGCTCAAGCTCTACTCTCTCTATGGTCAAGCCTTTTTCTTGTAGAGTTGCAGTAAAAGACACAGTCTTGTGGCAGCGTCACCACACTCATTCACCAGGACAGCTTTCCATTATAGTCACCTCCACATTCAATGACAAACAGTACAGAAGAGCAAGTGTGCTGGTCGCCGGAATCTCTGCAGTCTTCAAATTTGTTGCGTTCTTGCAGTAGGTGTCGTCTTTAGCGATTAAGAAAAAAAGAACAGAAGCAAAAAAACTCTGGGACAGAGTCTTTAGGTCAAACTCAGCTTCCTCCTTTGACCTAGTCCATCCTCTGTTGCTCACTACAACACGTTCCCTCACTCAGCACAGCACTCTGTTCACACTGCCCTCCTCAGAGTGTGTGTGCGAGTATGTGTGTGTGTGTATGTCTTAGTGTGTTTGTGTGTGTGTGTTTGTGTGTGAGGAAGAAAGAGAGAAGGGCAGATGGGTTGCCTGTTTGTGTGTATGTGTGTGCGTTTGCATGTGTGTATTTGTGTACGTGTTTGAGTGCAACTGAGGAGTTCCTTGTGGCGAGTCGGAGAAGGAGTCTTAATTTGTCATCTGGCTCTACAGGCGAAACTTGAGAGCTCTGGGCGGCTGAGGGGGCGGGGCATAAATAATACAAAAGGTAGAGAGAGAGAGAAAGAGAGAAAGAGAGACAGACATGGGCTGTCGAAAATAAGACTGAATGCCAATAAGATGTCATCAAATCTGCTATTATCCAACTATTAACAGTGTTAATAGTTAATAGTTTCTTTATTGATGCGTTGCATTTACGCTTATGCAAAAGAGAAGTCACATAAACACAACCTCTATGTTATCTGACTTTAAATCAACTCCTCCTCTTTTTCCAGAGTAACATATACTGTCAGGTGTGTGTGTGTGTGTATGTGTGTATATGAGCGAAGATAAGTGACGCATCATTCTAAGAAACCTTCACATGTTTAAATAGCATCAATTTGAGAAATGCAGGCAGCCACCAACCTACAGTACTTCCACATACGTAACAGCAGGAGAAAAAGCAGAGGCAGGAGAAACACCAACTTGTATTGTAGATATATGACGTCTTCGCTCTGGGTATCAATAACAGAGGAATGACTCTCAAACATACATACACACACACACACAGACAGTGGAGGATCGGTAACAGGGCTGTGATTATTAGTGCCATCAACCAAATTATTCCTCTTCCAGAGGGAAGGGGTCGGATTGCCAGATCTGTCCTGTTACAGGGTATAGGTGTTGGGTTGCCAGATCCTGATCTTTTGGTCCTGGTGTGTAAGTCTATCTGATCAAAGCAGCAAAAAGCGCATGTTGTGTATGTGCGAGCATGTGCGTGCATGTGCGCACAGTGCGTTTAAGCAGAGTTATGTCTTTGAGTGTGTGCACATGTGCATAAAAAGACAGAGTGCGTAATGAAAGAGCATTTTTTCCTGGATTTCATATACGGTTTGTCTCTAACCGTACATCTGCCTTTGAAGCATAATGAAAAGACCCTATCAAACGTGAAAAGCCCTGAGTAGCAGCCAGTCTCCATCTTCCCAAAGCAATTGCTGCTGGCAGGTGGTCCTCCATCTTTTGATAGAATTTGTAGAGAGGAGACAACACAGAGAAACTGGGATACATGCCCAGGAGAGGAAAGCAGACTTATGACAGAAGTGGACTTGATGAGGCTCATCAAAAGCATTCAGGTCCTGAGGGGAGCAGTAGACCATCTTTGTCACTTTACACACACACACACACACACACACACGCACGCACACACACATGAAGCAATCTGCTGCTATCTAGTGGACCAGCATTACACCTGCAGCATCTCCAACAGTTTGCAGTTAGTTGGTTCAGGTAAGTTTACAGGCCTGCAGCGAGTGTAAGGCTTGCACAGCACAAAGCAATTACCTGAGCTTTGTGCATTGTTTTTCCATGATTGAATACAGTCTTATAATGAGTGAAAATTAGATACATTAGGTAGTCTAACTCCAGGATAACCATTTATCTTGCAGAAGAGAAGAAGATAAACCAAAGTGTGCAGGCAAAAGGAGCAAGGAGGGAGGGAGTTGGAGTGAGTGTAGTGCAAAACCTACCTCTCCTCCGGAACACCCTCACTGGAGCTCCGTAGTCGCGTTTCCCCATCATCTTAAATGTAAAAAGGGAAGAAATAAAAAATCAAATGACTGAAATTGCAACAAGTCCCGTTTATATTTTAACCACACACACGGTTCCTCCTTTACCTCTGCTGCTCCTCTGACGCGGCTCCCGGCTCAGAGCAGCAGGGGTCGGTCGGTAGAGAGGAAAAGTGTGCCACCGGGAACGGAGGATGAATATTTAACGACCGCTATTCTTCGATGACCGGCCGGGGGCTTGAGTTCCACACACTCCGGTGAGAACTGATGAGCACCGCGGGTGGGCCGCGGGTGGGCCGGGCATAGACGGTGATGCACACTGGTGTTCAGTTAAGTAAACAAGGTGGGTGAACGTAAAACACTAATGTTAGTATAGCATTAGTTAGCCTTGAGTTGAAAAGAGATGGCGTTTCCTCCAATACTGTTGTCCGGAAGTTTGGCGTTAGTTAGTGTATAACAAGGGTTGTGGACTTTTAACATGTCCTCTCGTGCGCACTGAACACGATGGGGGAAGTGTGTCATGACGGCTCACGGGATGAACGGCTCATTACGGTTGAAGGTGCGAGCTACAACAAGAACATGTAGTTAACGTCTCCACATGAACACTTCTTCTATTGCCCGGCAGATGGACCCGCCCGCCAACAAACAAACAGCAGAGAGCCATAAACTGCTGCATCTCAGTCACTCCATAACCTAAACGACCTTGCCGTCTCCCCCACATGACCGGCTGGCTGCCGGTATCAAAACAGGTTTTGGCTTTGATATTGAACCAACTGTGGAGAGACACGATGCAAGACCTCGCTTTTTTTTTTTTGCGGTGTTTTTATTTTTTAAACAAGCCTTTGGCAACGTTTGCGCTATTTTTAGCGCTGTGCCTGAAACAGTGATTTACATTGACTTCAACCAATAGACATATTTGCAATGTTTATGGTGAACACACTTAATATACTGCTGACATTCTGCAGCTGGCAGCCAAAGTCTTGGTCAGTGCAGGCAGCTCTCCAACCTGCCAGCTTGTTTTCTAACCAAAACCAGGTCACTGCTTCTTTCATTTTTATGTCCACTGACAGCATCATAATCAATTATGCTACTTAAACAGCTGCTTCAAAATACAGCTACCAATGTGCAATCAAATAACCCAAGCTCTCTCTTACCATATTCGACTGAATTAGTGTTTCCCAGTCTGGTGGTCAAGAATCCCTGAAGGGGTTGTGAGAAGATAAGCAGGATAAGAAAGCAGAAAAAACAACATTATGCTCAGAAACTCAGGACTCTCCTTTACATGGTTTTTACTTATTCACTCTGAAAAATATTTAAATGAAATAATCTTTCTTTATTGGTTGAAGTAGTGACAAGGGGCAGCACTTAGACATGATTTAATTTTAAAGGGGTGACAAGCCAAAAATGGGGAACCACTGCAGGATGAGATTAATGACAGCTGAGGCCATCATTCTTCTTCTTTCTCCGTGGTTCTGTAATTATTGTACTGAGCTACAGGGTAGAAGCCAAGCTCTCTGGAAGCAAGCCTTACCTGAATTATTTGGATTTTTTGACGGCAGTGTTGCGAACAGGAGTTGCTGATAGAAATTGTGTCCCCCCCCCTGACAACAGCTTGCTTTGGGCACTGAAACATTACATATCTGTAATGCTTGGCATGTTCCATGGCCCCTTGTCCAGCTCTAGGCCCTGTGAATCATTCAAGGAAAGCAATGGCTTTATCCTGAAAGGAACAAGCTACTTTTTTTGTTGGAATAAGAAAACAAAGCCTTGTCTCAGGAAGGTGGTGATGTTTCCTCAAGAAAAATGTTGCAATAGGTGTCGAGCTAGACCTGCATTGTTATTTGAGTAAAGAAATATTTGAGAAAAATGTTGGTGATATAATTGGAATGAAGAGTTAAAATGTAAAACGCATTTAGCTTGTAAAAAAAGTAGCTCAGGCTTACTGCTGCCGAGTTTGGAATGGATGCGAGCTTTCCCACTACCAGGCACCGTTGGCCGGATGGCAGGCAACAGATCGGTGAGCAGAGCACCAACATTATGTTTTCCTCCTGAAGGAGTCTGGAGCTGAAACAGCTGCTCCGAGACACCCGGTCTCTGCAGCAGGTCAGAGGGAAAGCTCCCTCTGGGACAGAGAGACCTGCTCATGGGTGTCTTTGTCTGTGTGTTGAAGAAGCGAGAGAGAGACAATGCAAAAGGCTTAGATGGATAGATAGATAGATAGTGTTGCAAAGACAGAAAAGCAGCAGGGTACATCCATCCACATCCACTTAACAGGCTCCACCTGGATGGGCCAGATAGTGGAGGATAGCGTGGCTGCTGGACTAGCGAGAGCCCCGCTGTGTGTCCATCAGTTTAAAAAAAATCCCTGCTGCTGCTGAAGTGTCCTTGAGACACATTTTCAACCCCTTCCAGTTCAGAGACACACCTGACTGCTGTTGCACTCCAAACTACAGTGATGCATTTCTGTCAGTCACAAAAAAATGTATTTTTGTGCATCTGTCTTTTACCCACAGTCCAACCGAACCCCTCAGCAATGGTGCATGGACCCAACCTGCAGATTCCGCAGTCACCACATCCCCTCTCACACCCACGAGAGTCCAAGATGGATATAGTAAGGGCGTGTATGTGATTGTTTGTTTGTTTGCCTGTGTGAGGGGGAGAGGCGGTATGGGTTAGTTGACAATGACAAATAGCCTTAAATACGATAAGAAGCTGCATCTGTGGATCAGATGGAATGTCTAAGGAATATATAGCAGCAGATCGTATTTACTTGCATAGAAATGTTTTAGGAGACTTGCAGGACAAAAATGTAAAATATTTGTATCAGAGAATGTCGCTCAAAGCTTCAAACTGCTGTAATGAGCAATGCAGGACATTAATCCAAACATGAACAAGAGACAGCAAAACCTACGTTTATCACATGCATGACGAAAGGAAAAAATTAAACATTATTCGCCATGTGTGGACCCATGGAAAACTATATTTTTTACTCTTCAATACTAGTTTTGTGTCATACACATGAACTATACATTTGGTAAATAACATACATGTCATGAACATACAGTACAATACACACAGAGTGCTACACTACCATATATAAAACAGTAAGCGTGAAGTATAGTCACCTTTCATATACAAAACTTTATTTTAAATAAATTGGAGATTGTGACTGTAAGCCAAAAGAGTTTTGTCACAATACGACCATATGGAGGAATTCTAAGAGACGTTGCAAGTATTTAGGCACATAGCCATCATGTTGTTGGCTCGATTCCGGTATTCGCACGGTATTCCGATCTCTGTCATCGTTTTTCCTGTCTGTGTCTACATTGTAAAGATGAAAAAGTTACAACAACAATAAAAAAAAATGCGGTGGTAATTTTATGGGTAGGTAATCACCAAATGCAGCAGATTTTCAGTTTAGAAAATGACAAGCTACAATGTACAACCAGCTGATACAAAATACATTTATTTTAAATCATGCAAACTTTATAGGGCTTTAATGTCACACCAGGGAAGTCATTTTCTCTTCACATTGAGCATCAGTAACCTACAGTATATCCAGAGAGTACAGCAGGTGTATGGGGATGTTCAGTAGCTTATTAATGTTATTCTATGATATTTGATTTATTGATTATCATTTACAGATAAAATGCAAGTAACGTGAAGGGACACTATTTGTATTCTCTGCAGTTTTCAGAAGCTTTTATTTGTACAACATCTGTTGTATTTCATTAAATCCACCAAGCTGTGAAATCATTTCTTTAAATGACTGTTAAACATAATGATACAGCTTCAAGAATGTAACATCTCTGTTCCTCAAGGGTGTTTTGAAAACACAACAGTCGGAGTAGCTCGCTTAGTGCTGCTTTAGATCTACTCCACTCTCGAGTATATGAGAGCAAAGGGGCAACGGAGATGGAATTATCACGTTGTTTTCTGCACAGCAGGTGATTATTTGATCATCAGCAACCACTTGTTTCTGAGATCATGCTTTGATGTTGGGATGGTGCTGTGGAACAGAGATAACACCTGTCTTGGCACTCAATTACAGAAATAGAATTTCTATGAAAGCTGATGCATCTCGTAAGCCTATTAGATAAAGCCAAATTACAATTTAAGATCATTTTGTAAATAGAGGAAAGTGGGTAGGCCACTCATAGTTGATATTTTCCTATTTAGACACAAAGACGAGACATACAGCAGGGGGCACACCTGTGGCCTCGGACTTGCCAGACCTGCTTTTTGTGACTAATTGTGCTGCAATTTGAGACATTTATTCACATTATACATGACATGTGGAGGATATACAGCTGCAATTCATCACATTGCTTTCTCTCGCTCGCTGCATACTGATGCTTTGCGAGCTCGCAATTTCTCTAAATTTATATTCAGAACGGTGGACTTAAACAGACCTGCAGTAACCCCGACACTCCGCCATTCACACTGTGGAAACATTGAAACAAAGCAATCCCGTATAGTCTACAAAGATATTGCATTTTCTATTAAATAGATTTAAACAGAATGCGTTAAATAAACTTAGCATTTTAATGGATGATGAATTTTGATGTGAAATTTAACATTTCGTTGAGTTTGGATTATTTTGTATTTAACAGCCTGCAGTAAAACAAGAAGGATATAATACTCTCCTCCAGTGCTCTTTATAAGCTCCTGCTTCACTGTGTAGAAGCTGCAAATACAAGACGTAGGTAGCCCAAACAATTGTGTTTGGAAAAACACCTCAAACAAACTGAACCCTTCACCCAAATTGATTTTATGGTGTATATTTACTTAAATAATTTATCAGCCAAAAGATTTGGTTGTCCAAAGGCAGTCAACTAAAGGTTAAATAAAGATTGTAAACCAATCCCCAGGAGGAAGTGTAGGACATGACTGAGGAGACAGCTGACTGGGTCACTTTGCTTACTGTCACCACAACCTGAAGCCAGTAAAGCAGTAAATGGGCAGATGGATGGATGAAAATCGCTATAACAGTACATTAGACTAAACTGGACTACATTACTCTTGCCGTTGTTGGCATGGTTTCCGTGCTCTCTGCCCCTACGTTTTGGAGCCTCAAAATTCAGGCTATCGCTGTAACTATTCTGGAGTGAGACCCAGAAGCAAGATCAGCAAGGTGGGAGTGGTAGTACAAAAGCAGGCTTTACTAGTCAGATAGAAAGATATAGGTCAGCAACAGGTAGGCAGTCAGCGGAGGCAAACAAGACCAGAAGGGATCAGGCAGGCAGCCAAAAGTCCAAAAAACTTGCTGGGTTCAAGTCACTACAATAGGCAGAAGGTAGATACAGGAAAGCAA